AAAAAAAAAAAAAGATTAGCTCTTGGACAGAGAGGATAGAACTAACTAACTCCTTCCCATGTCAGGTGGATACAAAGGAAGCACTGAAGGCCATAGTTCTGCCACCAACTCAGTACCTCAGACCATGGTGAGCAAATAGTCTCAGCTAGTTTTCAAAATATAAGCACATATATTCACAAACAAAACACATTAGAGTAAATAAGCTAGAATGTTTTCTCTCTTTTGGATAAGATAAATATGTACTGTTAACAAATATTTGCATACAAATTTTTGTGTAGATGCATGTTTTCATTTTTGGTAAGTGTATACCTAAGAGTGAAATTATTGGGGCATGTGTTATTGCTAAAATATGTTAAACATTAAGAATGTACTGTTTTCCAAAGTGGCTGCACCATCTTATATTCCCCCCAGTGCATGAGAGTCCAGTTTTCCTACATTCTTACCAACATTTATTATTATCTGATTGTTTTAGTTTAGCTCTCTCATGGGTGTTAAGTTGTATCCCATAAGTTTTCTTTTACATTTCCCTGAAAATATTTTTATAAGGAGGTTGATGCTGAAAATAAGTAAAAAGAACTTTAGAATGAGAGTGCACATTTTCTGTCTTTACTCCCCTTCTTTAATCAGAGTTAAGGAAATCTAATGAGCATCCTTTAATGAACTTCTTTGTAAATCAACTAAATTTCCTACAAAGCTGTGTGCATTTTTATAAATGAGTATTCAAGATTTAACTTGCTTTGCATTCAAGGCCAGTTGAAAGATTTTAATCAAATCATTCAAGAAATTAAACTCCCCCTAAAATCATCTCTTGAAGCTTCTAATAGATGTAATAGTTGAAAAATTATTTAAAATGAAAACACTGAATTTCATGCTCACAAAAGTAAAAGTAGAAAAATTATGAGTTCAAGTGTTAAACAAGATTTAATTTTCAGTTTTATAATATCCCTTTGAAACAGCTCTATTTAAGAAAAGACAAAGTGCCTGTTTTAACTGGATGAACTTAGAGTGTGCAGTAGAATGAAAAGAAAGTGGTTTGAACATTTCTAAAAACTTTGCAACTTATATTTGGGTAAGAACAATCATAAATACATAGGTTTTATGTTTTGTAAATTGTAAAGTTTTGGCCAAAGAACATACAAAAACTGGAGGTAAAATAGCAATGCCTGAAAAGTATTTTGGCTAAAGTACAATGCATACATCTTCTCTTTAGCAAACTTTCTTGGCATTTACCAACACTTATTGGGAGAATATTTATTTCCATAGCTTAAAATACTTTGATTCAAATAAACTTTTGTAATAAAAAAAATACTTCAATTCAGAGAGTCAATTAAGGTATCAGCAATATCACTAACCATAAAAAAGAGTTTGAATAAAACTGTAAATAAATTTAAGAAAATTGTATATATCTTCTTCCCCCTAAATACCATAGATGGCTGAAAAGCAGATTCACAGCAATGAATTTATTCCAAAAATGATGATTCTGTTTCTGTTATAGTCTAATGTTAAAATGTTCATTATAAAGAAGGTTTTATTTTGCTTCAGTGCATATAGTTACAGTTACCTTTATTTTTATAGTTTTACTTTGAATATAACTTTTCAACTAAGTCATTTATTCACAAACATATATTCATAATTTTGTTTATTTTAATACCCTCTTCAACTTCTGAAAGTGTCCTGTAAATTATACAATCATTCAACTTTTAATTAATGTTGTTTTTCTAAAATCCAACCCCTTGGTTAGCCAGATATAGGAGCAGATAGCTGATCAAATCTTTAATCTTATAAAAATTTAGTCTTATTTGACCATTTAAATGGCCCCTTGAGACACTGCTTGTTTTCTCTGGGAAAATCTTTTCAGTGTCTGTCAATGTTGTATTTTTTTCTTTCTTTTTTATTTCTCTTGGTAATGTTGGTTTACATCAGTGTTTGTATTTTGGGAGTATAGGACCTCCCCCTTTTGGGTGTTATCAGCTGGAAAGTGATTACAATAAGTGATATAAGTCCCAAGAAAAAAGACAAATGTCATATCCTATCACTTCTAAGTGGAATACTTAGAAAATAAACAAAAGAACAGATCAAGCCAAACTTAAGAATTAATCCTAGCAAGTTATTAAAACTGAGGCACAACTGGTTGGGGGGAGAGGGGGGATTTTTTAAGAATTGTTTGTTGTAATGTTGGCGAGGATGTGGTGAAAAAGGAACTCTCCTGTACTGCTGGTGGGAATGCAAACTAGTACAACCACTATGGAAAACTGTTTGGAGGTTCCTCAAACTGCTAAACATGGAGCTTCCTTACAACCCAGCAATCCCACTCCTAGGTATCTACCCAAAAGACACAAAAATACTGATTGAAAAAGATACTTTTTTACCCCCATGTTTATTGCTGCTTTATTTACAATTGGAAAAACATGGAAACAGCCCAAATGCACAAAAGTAGATAACTGGATAAAAAAGAAGTGGTACATATATACAATGGAATATTACTCAGCAACCAAAAAAGAGAAACACATGTCTTTTGCAGCAACTTGGATGGAACTGGAAAAGATCATGCTTCGTGAGATAAGCCAGAAAGAGAAAGAAAAATACCGGATGGTTTCACTCATAGCAGGAGTATAATGGACCAGGTGGAAAATAACAAAAATAATGAACAACCATATACCAGAGACATTTTGTGGGGGTAGAATGGGGAATGGGCTCAAAAACGGGGTGGGGGGAGGCAAATGCATGGGATTATGGTGATGGCACATGGGTGACTTGGTGATGGGAAACCCGCGGGGATTACAATTGAGATGGAAAAAAAATGTACAAAATGATGTAAAAATAAACTTTTGTAATAATAATTTTAAAAAAAACTCATAGAAATCAATAAGAAAATGAGAAAAAAATATTGGAAACTGGAAGATTAAAAAATAATAATAATTGTTTGTTGTAAACCCCACAATACTCTAGAACTCAGGCCTACATCATAATCTGATAAAGCTTTGTGGACCCAGGGTGAATTCAGCTCCTTGATGAAAGGGGAAAAAATTAAAAAGAGCAATTCAGGACTTATGAGAGTAGCCAGAGTAGGTGGATACTTAGCAGAACTTCTAGGTTAATTCTCTCTTAGACACAGTTCATTGATTGCCTGTCTTAAGCTGAGAATGATGTATAGTCATGTACCTGTACTGAAGCATATACACACACATACACTTTCACACCCATACTGAGAGTTTAGTCCCCCTCTCACCTAAGTGCTACACTGCTATTACTTTTTGATCCTATTATGACCAAGGCTTGGTATAAATAATCAGGGGAAATGAAGTAAGAGTAGCCATAGACCTTAGTATTGGAGAAGAAAGATTACTTTGATCAAAGCAGTGAAATTAAAAAGCGTATTACTGAAATAGTGCATCTATTCAGAGAGGGGGACAAAGCCCTGCTACCACCGGGCAGATGAGGCCTACACACAGTGCCTTCACGTCACTGGTGGTTTGTAGACAGACAGCAAGGATATCAGCTGTATGACTTCTCAGATGTCTTTCTAATGTTGTAATGAATATCCTTAGGGAAAAATAGATCTGCTAAACAGATGAGAAGGGATATCTTTTGCCATCTAAGGGAAAGGGTGTATCTATATGTCAAGGACAAATACATAACTTAAAGTCTAATGGTATTTAATGCTACTTCTTGTTCACTAAAGCCAATAACACCTATGATTTCCAAGCTCCTATGATCCCCCATTCTTTGTGTGTTATTACAGTTATCCCCTTTTTCATCATTGATAACACTTTAGCTGTCCTTTATATTAAATGCACATTTTTCCTTTTTGTGGCAGACAGATGTTTATGTTCAGATTAGTTTCATGTGTTCAATTTTAAGCACCTGGTATTACATGTATCTTTATTTGCAAACTTATTCATGTTGGGCTGTGTTATATTTTCAGTTGATTTCATAGGTGGACTTGATGCACACGCCTACTACCAGGATCATGTTGAGTTAAAGCCTGTGAACCTGTAAGTAAAGGTGTGATGAGATGGAAACATTAATCCTTCTAACTGGACCAAAACTAACCAAACCTGAAATAATTTGGACCTGCTACTACTAATCGTTGGTTTAATTTTCCACTCATTCTTAAACACACCTTTCACATGTAACCCAACATCATCATTATTATTTTTCATTCTGGAAAGGATTTCAAATAGATAACATAATTAATGCTTCCCAAATGGTGTTTCTATTTTCTTTTAATTTGTATTGACTGCCAAATTGAGGGCTGGGGAAGATGACTTAGTTAACAGAAGAGAGATTCATGTGTGGCAAAGAGAAAGGAAAAAGATTAAGTTAGAATCCAGGCTCTCCTTGTGTAGGCTCAGGGACCTTCCTTGATGCCTTTAAAATTTGCTTCCCTCAACTGTAGTGTAGTTTTGTAGATAAAGAGAGAGGATGGATTAAAATGATAAGGTATGTATAGCATATGAAAAGTACGAATTATTGTGCTTTATACTCAAATATTTGATTAACCATCCCTAGAAGACATGGAAGAAAATTAGCAACAATGAAACAATTCAAACTGATCAAACTTTGATTGTGGGTAAAAAGGAATCCTGGTCACCTCATTGATAAAGTATTAGAAAACAAGAAAATGGAAGTAGTGACTTCATTGCTAGAAAATTCTAAATAGCAAGTAGACAACTGTATAAAATAATAGCTATCTTGTGCTAGACATTTTATATATATTATGTCACTTAATCCTTGGGAAAATACTGAAATATACTAATACATTAATTACTACTAATTAACAGTCCCACTTTATAAAGAAGGATAACAAGATTCATAAAGATTAGGCAAATTTCCCAAAATCCTACTATTAGTCAGTGGTGGAGCTGGAATCATTCCTGGATGATAATCTGTCACCATGCCTGACTTCATGAGCTTGCTATGACCTTCCAATTCTTGCAGCCCAAAGTTCTGTGTTTCCTTGATGGATGGGAGAAATTGTGTAAAATGTCAATGGTGTAAGAAACACATATGAAAGTCTTCTCCTGCTGAATATTTACCCAGTGGATCCTGTCCATATCTGCATGCAGGTTAAATTAATTTTGCTCAGAAAGAATGATCTAAAGGGTGCAATATTCACAGGAAGCACAAATCAGCACTGTGCCTGCCACATGATAAATGTTTAATTAAATGTTGGTTTCTTAAAGCAAATCCAATTTGGGGAAACAATCACCCTATATAACACTCCAAGTCCAAACCGTCACCACCTCGTTATTCATGCTATTGAGTGTTCGTAAATGATGCACTCCCCATGTTGATGCTTGTGGATTTGGGGAACTTGGCAGAGTTTGTGACAATAATAAACATGATCAGTAATTTGAACGTGAGAAAACAACTGAAACAATGCCTAGGGAGATTTAGAGATCACCACATATATATTTGTTATCTGATAAGAGAATGATTAATGATTTCTTTCACCTCCACTGTGAAAAAAAAAAACTCATTGGAGACATTGCAATATGAAAAAAATGTTGATCAGATGTCAGAAAGAACCTTTCCACTAGGAAAGGTTATTAAAAACTGTAATTGATTAGTGCTGGTAATGGAATTTTCTTCTTGAATGACACACACATATCTATGTAGCTCAAGAGTGGATTCTATGGCAGGTCCTAGATACAAATGGCTTACATCTATTCTCTCTGAAGTTTCTTCCATCTCTGTGAAATAGACACCATCAAGCATTCTTGTAAGATAACCTAAAAGGCTTTGATCAACTTTACTCCCTCATCAAAGGGTTTTTCTCAACGACTCGGCTCACTGCTGAACTCTCACACTTTTTTTTAGCTGAATGTAGGATAAACTACAGGCTGTAGAATGTAGCCATCTAAAGTTTTGACTTTGACATATTATGCATATTATTATGTCAGATGAATATGAAACACCTTTTAACCATGAAGGGAACAAGAATCTGAAAGATCAAACTAAGCCTGAATTTAAATCATTGAGCATGAAACAATTTAAGAGTCAGTATATTTGCTCCCCACTCAGATGCAAATATTGTAGTTTATCCACTCCATATCATACAGTCTGCCTGGGTTCTTTTTTTTTTTTTTTTTAAAGATTTATTTATTTATTCATACAGAACTGGGGTACAGGCCAGAGATGCGGAGGGTGAGAGGATTCACCAGAGACAGAGTGGGGGGCAGAACAGGCAGATCGACGAAGTACACTGCTGAGGGGAGCAGCGGGCGGGTCAGGAGAGGTCTGCCACGCCATGTGGTCTCCTCCGGGGCAGGCGGGAATCGAACTCATGCTGAAGTGGCTTAAGCTTCTTTGTGCAGTGCTTTAACCCGCTGCGCCACCAGGGAGGGCCATGCCTGGGTTCTTTTAATGAGACCTTTCTGTTAGATTCCTTTGTGCCCCACTAGTAATGCCATCTTGCCACATGTTGGAGAAAAGGTCAATCGTCTGTACTAAATCATCAGAGAAGGGTATGAACATTGGTTTTTAACCTTCATTAAGTCTCTTTAATCTCCATACAGCGCAAAGTCAGGTTTTTTGAGAAAGCCACATTTATCCAGGCAGTAGGAGAAGAGAGAAAATTGCCCCCTAACCCTCTGACTTCTTTTTCAGGCTAGTGAACCAAAAACTTAACATCAGAGAGATTAGAATGAGAAATAAACAGGTTTAATTACATTTATATGGAAAACTTATGTGTATATAGATACTAAAGCCAATGGGTCAAAAGAGATATGGTATCTATATCCTGATTTAAGGGATGGTGTGGACACAGGCACTCATATAATTAATACCAGGTTTTCTGTTATTGCATATTTGCTCTGCCATATTGCTAAGTTTCTCCAATAGGCAGTTGCTTCTGGCAAAAATTATAAATCGATAAAAGCCACAATTTTTATTCTTCTAAGGTAAGGGAGTTATGAGCTCACTTGGTCTCAGCTAACCTCAGGTTGAAATAATCCACATGCCAAAGGGACACATTTTACAAAAGCCTGTTCTGGATGTTTGGGGAAGGCCTGTCCTTCAAAGTGCCTGGGAGAATTTTTAGCATAAGCCCAGGTGACATGCACATGGATAGGTAATTTTCAATTCTAGATAGGTAGTTACAAACACACTCACAGGTAGCTCTGCAGACTTCTATAGGAAGCCTTCTTTCTCATGCATATGTTTGTTGTCATTGCTTATAATCATAAAGTGGACCTTTCCCATCCACAGTCAAGTTGTGCATGAATATGTATATTGGAGGTGATAAGGTAGGGTAAGGGCCGCACATATGGATTTGTTTCTTCATGTTTTTTCTCTCTTCAGATACCAGTATCAACCTTAAAAGAACTCACTGATTAAATAAACTGGTTTCATTCCATTTACATGCTCCCATTTATAATAATTTGTTGGTTACATACAACCAATGTGTGCTCAGCCCTGTGTTGGGTGCTGGGAAGATAAAGATGAGTAATACTTGTACCTTTGACAGCTAATCATCTAGGAGAAAAAACCTAGATAGAAAAAAGTGGACCTGAGAAGATGGCCCCAAAGACGTTTTTTTTTTTTTAGAATGAGGCTGAAGTTTCTACTGGGAGATGATCCTGAGCTGATTTGGAAAGACAATGAAGTTTATCAAAAACAAAAATAACAACAGCAAAGAGGTGTCCCCTGCATAGAGGCTAATTTTCTTGGTCATTTTGCAGAAGATAAAGTTGAAATTTATGACAATTCAATGTGGTGTTTACCATAGTTTTCACAAAAAGTGAGCAGGTTGAGGTTAAAACAACTGTTTAAGCAGAGTGTCGTGATGAGGACAATCTGAGTTCCTCAGGGGCCATTGTGCCACCATCTAAATGATGTCACTCATACTTAAAGTTGTAGAGATGCTTTCAGTGATTGTCCTCTGGGTCTGGCTTGGGGATATGTGATCCACAGCTCGGGAGTAGTCTGTGCTGGAATCTATCACCTGACACTGCCACCACTGTAGTTTTCAACCTGATTACATCCCAGGTCTCCATCGGGACCCCCTCTGTGTATACCACACACTAATGCCACCTTTCACATGGGGAAGAGCAATGGTGCTCTTATCACTCAAATACAGTTACATGTGGTCGGTGGTGACTTTGAAGAAGATACCTGCACAGTGGTTTATGGTGCAGGCAGCAGTAATATCAAGGGAATAGGGATAATAAGAGCATACTTTGTTCTCAAGAAGAAAAATGGCTTGCCTCAGAGTCATGCAACCAAGAAGAGACATGGAATGCCAGAGGACATAATGGTGAGCAAATAAATTACTTCAACATTTGTCAAAATCATTCAAAACGGTTAACATCTTGGTGTGCAGAAATGAAACTCCATGGACAGAAACCCTTTACATAAAAATAATTAGATCAGTGCAGTTTCTCAAAGAAAGACAGCTGTAGAATTTCAGAGCAGAGTCCCACAACAGAGGTAGAGAGATCTGCTACCAGATATTTCCATGAGGAAGAACACCCATAACTGCAGTCTAAGAGGCTTTGATGAAAACAGCTTCCCCCATCACTTTTAGCCAACCTTATTCTAAGAGATCCAAAAGTGGACTTGACTTTTTCTCTGGTATTTTGATTTGTCTTATTGCCTTTGCTAGAGACTAATTTTTCTTCACAAATATTGTTACATCTATGTGGCCACTGCTGAGTGGCTGCTACACTGTTGAGTGTACACTGTTGAGGAGAATAACTGCATTCCAGGCCTGCGCTGCAGCCAACCTCTCCTCCCCACATCCTTCCACTACCTGCCCTCTGCTGCTCATGGTCTGGCTCAGAGGAAACCCACCTTTGATACTGGGGCTGCGACACAGAGCCAGCAGAACCTCTGCCTCCTTCCCTCAGAGCAGTTGTTTTGTAGCATGTTGGCGCCGGGCCATTTTGCATTTAGAGCACTAAGATTAAGATCCAAACAAGAGGATAAATCAAGGGGTGTGTGTGTGTGTGTGTGTGTGTGTGTGTGTGTGTGTGTCTACGAAGTGGAAAGGTAAGACCAATATGCTTTCAAACTCTAATTTAAAAACCAATAACAAGGATTGATGTATTAGTAAATAGCAGCTGGATGAAAAAGGAATCTATGACCTGCATCACTTTTTTTTTTTTTGACCGAGCACCTAAAGACTAATAAAATAATAACTCTGCCTATCCTGTTTTCATTTGTCCTTGATTGGCTTTCACACTTTCATATTTATCTACCTGTGCTGTTTGTCCCCTGTGGCAGCCAGAGTAAAACGCCTGTAATCTGCTCACAGTGAGGGCTGGCGTGCGTTTCCCATTACCGAGCATGCAATTGTTGCCTGAGGGCTTTCATCAGTCCCCTAGAAAAGCTGAGAACTCACAGAGGCATTAACTCTTGGACCCGCCTCTGGAGTGCAGAGCCCCGCAACTGTAACATACTCAGCACCTTCTTCAGAATCCCAACAGGGATGAGGGCTCCCCTCCTGCCCGCCTTAAGGAACACAAAGGTGGCAGAACTTCAGACTCATTGTTCTCCCCAGTGTTGGAGTTCTTTCTCTTTGCCACGGGCTTTAGTAACTGTTTGATCCACCATAAGAAGTGATTAAACAACTGTAAGGACTAATAAAGAATGCATGGTAATGTGTAGCCATTTGAGCAGCTAGGAATGAAATGGCTGGGTTTCTATGGCGAGTGTGAGCCACACACATCACTAAACTGTTGGTGTGAGCACCGCTGCCCTTGCTAAGAAGGATTAGTGCCACTAGAGCACTGCTGGCCACACCCAAGCACATTGGCCGTGACCCACAGCCATTTACCAGCCCTACTCATCAGTGGGGACTGGATGCTTCCTCATTTGATTTGTGGAGCCTGCTTCTCATGCTACCTTATGAAGTACCTGAAGATTTTCCAAAATGTCTTTCTCTGACTAGTCTCCTCCAGGGAAGCAGTCAATTACTGCCTTCCCCAGAATCCTCAGGCTTCTTCTCAGTCCTTGTCATTGATATTAATGGCAAAAAAATAAATTTGCACAGGAGACATGAAGCACCTCCTCCCCCAAAGTTAAAAAAGCATAAGTAGGGCCCTCCCTGATGACACATTAGTTAAAGCATAGCACTGCAAGCTAGTCACTGCTGCTTCAGTGTGAGTTCGATCCTCGGTCCCGGAGGTGACCCACATGGCGCAACAGACCTCTCCTGTCTCACCTGCTGCTCCCCTCAGCAGTATACTTTGTTAGTCTGCCAGTTCTGTTCCCCACTCTGTCTCTGGTGAATCCTCCCACCACCCCTGCACCTCTGGACTGTACCACAGTTCTGTATTCATAGATAAATAAATCTTTAAAAAAAAAAAAAGCATAAGTAAGAGGAGCTTCATTTATTCCCAAAGAAAGCATCTTCTGATTTCAAAGCCAGAGGCAATTAATAGAACAAATATATGTACATATTTTTATTGTATATACATATCAAAAATATTTATAACCCCATGCAAGTTCTTGGTAGAAACACAATATAGGAAAGAATATACAAATCAAAGGTAAAAACACACCCAGCTGCAAACACATCGATATCCCAAAAGTAGTACAGAAGGACTCAGAGCAGCAATAGGAAAAAAAGAGTGACAGGCTGATCAGGAGACACACTTTGAAATAATGTCATTATCTTATTACTTGATTTCATTCTTCCTGGACAGTAGGTACCCCCAGGTAGAGATGGCATATATAACTGCATGCATTTGTCTAAATTATTTGTGAGGATATGCTCTTAAAGGTCCCCAAACTCATACTGTTCTACCCAGACTCACTGATCATCATAACATCATTAAAAGAGTGACATCTAGACAGTCTGTATGCAGATGTCATACAATAACACACATAACATCAGCTGTGAAGTATCTTGCCTCCAAGTCAAGTGTGTGACTTGGACTGAAAGCATAGTAAAGATGAGGATAACAGAGTAAACTGAAACTCACCATGAGGACACAATCACCCAGATCTAGAATGTAGAAATAGGGCATGGTAAATTAAAAGGAGACATGAATAATTACTGATTAAAAGAGATAGACGAGACAGACACCATGTCAGCATAGTATTTGGATTCTGATTTCAACAAACCAACTGTAATGAGCTGTGGCTGCCATGTGAGAATAGGCAATTGGGGGAATAAGCATGTGGACAGGCTAGTAACTAACTGAAGAAATGCTCTTTTTTAGTAGTTATACCTGTGAATAGTAAAAAAATAGTAAAAAAGAAAAAAAGAAAAAGAAAGTCTTACCAGTTGAGCAGAGTTTTTCAACCTCAACATAATTAATTCTGTACAAGATCACCCTTATGAGTAGAGGCTGTCCTGTGACGTTTGGAATATTTCGCTTATTTAGCTGCATCCTTGGTCTCCATAACTACATGTCAAAGCAGCACCACTGCCCACCTCGTCACCTTGTGACAACCAGTAAGTGTCTCCTGGTTAGGAATCACTGAGTTTGAAATGCAAAAGGATGAACTAATGAGTGACATGATGCAGTGTTTGAGATTTGCTTTAAAATACCCTAGCCAAAACTGTTATATTATTAAAAAAAATAAAAAATAAATAGCCTAGCCAGAAAAACTTGTGGTGGGTAGATGGATTTGGCTAACATAAATTTTATTTTAGTTGAATTTAAATAGTGAATACATAGGAATTCATAACACTATCCTCTTTAGCTATGGATATGGGTATGTTTTAATTTAACAAAAATGACTGTTAATAAAATCCAAGAGATCTCCAGAAGGTTATTTTATAATGCTTCCTTTCAAATCTTCATCACTGTTTTCTTCAAAAATGTCACATTTCATGGTTTTCTTTGAAAACCCCTCAGACATATTCCCCCTGCCTGAAGTAACACTTCTAGAATATCTATCTAGAATCAGCAGAACAGGTTCAGCCTACTTCACTCCCTTTCCAAATCCATGTTACTAAAGTCCCAGAATGGAAAAGATTACTTATAGACTGGAATACCAGTAAAGGATGGAATTAAAATTAAATGTAATGGATTCCTAGAAGTTCTACTAAATACTACCACTAATATAAAAACAAACAAACAAAAACAGTAAAACATTTTCTCCTCCTGTTTTACCTGCATTCTGGAAGAGTTTCACCAATTTGGATGGATGAATGAAGTCCAGGACCCTGAATCTTCCTTTTAACTGAAAGACTGTATAAAGTTATTAAAAAAAAAAAAATCCACTATTCTAAGTTCATATCTTATCTTGCAGCTGAAATCCCAATTTAAATATAATGGAGTAAACTCGTGAACATTTGGACTGTGCTTTTCAAAGTGTAGAGAAATAGAGAGCAGAGAAAATATGAAAAGATGTCCAAGGCGGCCCTCCTGGTGGCGCAGCGGGCTAAAGCACTGCACTAAGAATCTGAAACCACTTCCGCATGAGTTCTATTCCCGCCTGTCCCGGAGGTGACCATATGGCGCGGCAGACCTCTCTTGACCGCCCGCTGCTCCCCTCAGCAGTGAACTTCGTAGATCTACCTGTTCTGCTCCCCACTCTGTCTCTGGTGAATCCTCTCGCCTCCCCTGAGCCTCTGGCCTGTACCCCAGTTCTGTATGCACAAATAAATCTTAAAAAAAAAGATGCCCAAAGCATTGCTGAAGGACCTCAGCCCCTGAGGTGTGCAGAAGAGACCAAAGTTTACAAGAAAAGTAGCTATGTAAAAACAAAAATAGAAAGTTGGAAACTTGTCTAGCTTTTCCAAATGATGAATAATACGTCCTTTCCAAGCCATAGAGAGCATCACTCCATAGAGTTAATGGAAGAGAATTGCTAGATAGAATTATAAAATTGGAGTAAAACACTGTCTCTACTTGTGTGGTGCTTATAATTCTGTTGCAGAGAGAAAATTTACCAGAGTGCAACAATCAGAGCACAATTAAATGTGGAAATGAATGCCATTAGCACCATGTGACATACAGCCGATAGCCTAAGAGTTGTTATTAACAGGATGATAGAGTAATGTGGCCAGAGTAGCAAACAGTAGCCTTTACAGAGGTAGATAAATTTCATCTGAGCCTAAAAAATGAATGGAGTTTGAATCAGCTAAAACTTTTCACATGAGAGTAACATCAAGAGCAAAAGTATGTGAACGCAAGTATTCAGTATTTATCCAGTGCCAATTCTATAATAAGGCACTGTGTAGGTATTACTGTTGTAAGATGCTTAAACCAGAATCCTCACCTTCTCAAGACTTCCTGCCCAGTTTAGAATTAGTAAATATGCACAGGTGTTGTCAAACATACAGAAGCAAGAGCAACTCCAGAGAATCAGAACCAAAATGGTGTGTGTGTCCGTGTGTGTATGTGGACAGAAAGCAAAATATTAAGAAATCGACTCATGTTATTAATGAAAGGCTGGCATAATCTAAATGTGCAGAAAAACTGGCAGCTGGAAATCCAAGGAAGACTTGTTGCATTCTTGAATCATAATAGTCTGGAGCAGAATTCCTTCTTCCTCAGAGGACTTCAACCTTTGCTTATAAGTCTTTTAACTGCTTGAATAAAATCCACCCACATTATGTAGGGAACCTGCTTTACTCAAAGTCTATTGATTTAAATGTTAATGTCATCTAAAAATACCTCATGTGAACATTAAACTGCTATTTGACCAAATATCTGGGTGCTATGGCCTAGGCAAATTGACACAAAAGATTAACCACCCAGACTGGAATACCGGTAAAGGATGTAGGCGAAAGATTAGATGGTATGAGAGCCTAAGTAGGTTCCTTTAGCAGTCAACCAACAGAATGCTGCAGAAATATTAGAGTAGGATTATATCTAGAAGTCTGGAGAACTATTACTCCCCTGTCATCTTTACCCCAAGGCAACCAAAGACAACCATTACATCAACCTCACTCCTCAGAAGTTAGGTGATTGGCACTTCTCACCCAGAAAACCAGCCCTGTAATGTGATGTTTATACCTGATTGTCACACCCTACTCTGAAAAGCAAGACGCCCTGGTTTTTAGCTTTCTTGTTGCTGCAGTCACAGACACCAACAGCATGATTGACAGAAGCTAATGTGAAAGCTGTGCAAGAGGAAAATTATTTTTCAATTTTTAAATCTTTAAACAATTGATATTTTCTGTTATAGGTCGAAATAAGTAATGACAATGACTGACATGCGGCTGCTGGACTGGACTTAGGAAGCAAAGCACCACTGACAGCACCTGTCTGCATCCACACGACTCACGCCTCACCTTCCAGAGAAGGGAATGCACCTCCCTGCTGTCCCACGAATCACAGAGCTCTTCAGTAGCCTACGTATCATTATCATTGTTCCCTAGATGAGTTGTAGTTGCTTGGATGGGTATTTTTTTAGTCCTTTTCTTCTTATATGAATACTTGCAAATTGCTTTAAATTTGGGGGTTTTAATTTTTTAATAATATTTAATGTGAGGCATGTGAAAATGGGGGTGGGGGAATCTATGAAAATCTTCTACAGTTAATGTTGGTTTGTATCATTGAGGTGTGAAGTCAATATTGCTGGCTATTGCAATGACCCTGGTCTGATAGAGTTCGCATTAGCATAGATGACCTATGGTTACTAGATTCAGAGTTAGACACTGTGACAGCTGATAAATAGACACAGATAGTGAGTGGATCCACATTCAGATGGCACATGGATCATTTTCCCAACCTGGCATCTCCTTTATCCTTGGCTTTCCAACACCCAGAATAATATGGCAATTTACATTTTCAAATCTATATGAGATAGCCAATCCTTCCTATGTTCTGAAAATTATATACCATGAGTGCATGAAGAGTGGAATCAGTAGAAAACCTTTCCCCTTTGGAAAGAATATGGGTATAATCAAGTATCACATTTTCCACTCTTTTTTCCAGTCTTGACACTGGTGTTGGATCTAAATATAAAGTCTGTGGGCACATGAGGCCAAAATCACAGCCATGTCTGCAATCAGGAATGTTGCTCTTGGGATATTCAAAAGGACCATTAAAGTTGTGTGGGGTTCTCGATACATACTCTAAAAGAAGATAGTTCCATTTAGTCTGCATTGACTTTACTTTCCAAAGTAATATGGAATAACCAAGAAAGGAATTATGGGAGACTGGACTGTGCTGAAAATACATCACCGCTTTCTCCACTGGTATATTTCAGTGACTATTTGCCGTCTGAAAATAAGTTTTGTTCTCTTTGTGTAACAACCAAGATGAGGTTATCTATACAGGCCACAAAATTGTGCCCATGATTTAATACGGAGGTTTTTCACTTGGCCAATACATCCCAAACTCAGTCTACAAGTCATCTAGAACTGTATGTGAAAATTGTATGTATTATGTGTATGGGTTTTTGGGTTTGTTTGTTTATTTTTTCTCTTATTTGGAATCCATATATTTGAGGAGATTTTGTTGAGAATGGAAGTTGAAAATCTGGCTAGATTTTACCAATTCCTGACAACCACCCTGGGCTTTCTGGCAGCCTGTTTTACTCACTAGTCACTGGGTCATGCCCTTAGGTCATCTGACAGCCATGCATTCAATCGCTATTCATTAGACTGGATAAACCCAAATTCAGAAAGAAGATGCACTCGCAGGAACCTTGGGGGGAGCCAAATCCCTACCACCATTCCACATTTGGGGGAGCTAAAACCTAGAAATGGTGGTCTGCTTATTGACAGCCCTGCCTTTATGCAGAGGAGCAAGCATTCAGGCTACAGAAAGGAAAACTTAAAGGACAGAGGGTGGGATTTGAGTTCCAGCTTCTCTGCAGTGCCTGGGACAAGGTAGGCTATCCCGGCACCAGAGTTTTCCTAGTCTGCACAGTGGAACTATAATCCCTGCCTCCCATCGGTAAATGGAAAGTAAAACATTCCATAATTGACAAAGGCATTTTTAATTAAAGTCAGAACAATTCACAGAACCCTGTCTTGGCACATGTATACCAAGGACTATGAAAAGCCCACAGAAACACCAAATTCCTAAATTTTCTAGTAATGATTGAAGACATTGTCCATATTCAAGTGGTTAGAATTCATGCAAACTGAAAATAACATTTCTTAATTTAAAAATAACTTTTCTATTAAGCATCTAATACGTATGTTTATGGAGAAAGCTAATAGAAAGTCAAACACCTAGAAAAAATTTTCAAGAAAAAATAAAAATAATGCTTACATATTTAAATTGTCACTTCACTGATCTCACCATGCACAGATAAAAAACACTTAAGACTTCACACAATAATATCATACTAAAATTTTGTTGCTATTTTAATTTTGTGTGAATCTGTACCTCTTACTGAGACACACTGCAGATAACATATTTGAAGAGGAAAAATTTACTTAGGTTATTTTTCTATGACTATTAACATCAACATTAACTTAATATTGTAAATTTGTTTTAGGTGTTAATCTTTTTTCACTTAAATGATTAACTTGCAACTGTTCCAGTCCCAATGCTAGCAATCCAGAATAATTCCAAAGCTCCAGAAAATTTTCTACTCATCAGAAAAATTTAAATAGACCCTCCACCTCCTCTCCTTCCTTCTTCTTTGCTTTCTACACATCCTATTTGTGCGTATTCTTCAGAGGTTCTGCTTACTTAAGACAAAGGGATGAAAAAGAGTGTAAAGCGGTACAGTAGCAGTCAACATTTTCCTTTGATCTGGATAATTCCATGCTGTCATGTTGTAGCTTCCTATGACTGAGTCTTCCCAGGTCTGGCAGCTTTATCTCCTGATTAGGGACCTCATTCTGTCTGTACAGTCTCATTTGCCTGAATCTCACCATCCGAAAAATGTTGCAGACCCACATTAAGTTCTGTCACCAGAAATGAACCTGGTAAAATTAAAGGTCAGCTGCCCAATAGCCCCTTAGTGCTGACTTGAATGTAGACAGGGAAATTTAAAACCAATGTTATTTTGCTCTTTGAACCATCTTGGCATTGTGTCTTGTAAACCTTAGCCAACCCTGCCCTGAAGTCCTCTGTCAATGACTTAGCCTTTCATAAGTAAATTCTGCTGGCATTATGTAGATCCACAAGAAGCTATGCTTCTTTCCAGATTAACCCATGATTATTTTAGTGTCCAGTCATGTCTCAAAAGTCAGCAAAAATTAAGCAGAAGGTTAGAGAATTCCCAGAGCACAGAAAATACTTTGGAGTGTGGAATAGTCTACATCAGAGAAATTTCATCTCTTAAAAAAGCTTTAAGCTAGTACTTCTCTGAGTATCTTAACATTCTATTTGCCCTATTATGTGAGAGTGTGTGTCCCAGAAATTAAAATGTATGTACATACTACTCCACATCTGAGAGGCTGATGGCTCATTTGTTTTGAAGAGAGCTTGACATCTTGCCCTAGCAAACTGTTGACTTCTTTCTTTTTTCCCTTCAGAGGAAATAACCTTGCTAGTTCTTATAGACCTAAATAAGGGAGGTAGTCAGCTTCAAGGGACTGGACCTAACAAAATATAGTAAGGCTGCCATCTGTCTCACTTAATGAATGGGACACTCATGATTGAGAGGAATTTGTCTTCATTAGGACCAGCTAAAATGTATATTGCCAAGCTGAAGAAATCCATCATGACTGCTAAATTGTGAAGCAAATAAAAACTACAATTGCTCATTTCAATCTTTACAAATTAGAAAGGAATCTTGCCAAGAATAAATAATCTTCATTTTAGCCCTAATTTAAAAAATTATAGTGTCTCAAAATCTGACTTACTGTGAAGTGACTGTTCTGGCTAATTATTTCTTAAAGCAAAGACTCATTAGTTCTGACTAACTTTAGCATGTAACTAGGAAACTTTTTACAGCTGACTAGAATTTAAATATTCTAATGATATTTTAGCCCAAGGTAGTATCTGTTTTGAAGGGATAACTGAAGTAAGTAGGAAAAATACAAATAATTGATCTTTTTAAGCTTAGAAATCTCAAGTGTCTTTTTTTCTTTTGTTTCTTGCCCATTTAAGAAACACTTATAACCTGTGCTAGACAGGAGATACATAGGTTTCTATGAACAGTGTTCAAATATTTGTGATAACTTTGGAACCACAACCTAAGAATGGAGTGTTCAGAAGCAGAACTGATAAAGGAAGACACTGTTCCTGCAAGGCAGAAAGGAAGCAGATGCCTTTTGAATATTAGAGAAATGCATGTACCAATAAAGAATTCTCCAAAATAGAGAGTTATCAAAAGTATTCAAATTCACGAGTATACCATGTCTTTTTTCATACTAAAAAGTTTGCTTTTTTACTAAAGGCCAAGAAAAGCATTTCTAGAATACAGATCAATTTTTTTAAATACAGGTACTCATCCAAATATTTGGTGTCAAGTGAACAATGCATTCTTTCCCTTGGATATTCGAGTATGCAAAGGCAAAGAATCATGATAGATGGTACAATAAAAAGAATCCAAGGAATCTAAGGTATGCTTTGGCTTTAATTTGAGAGCTGGGTTCATTGAGGAGAAAAGAAATGAAAGTGGGAAACAAGGAAGGGAGGGAGAAATGGAGGAGGCTAGAGCGAAAATAAAGAGAAAGAAAGGAAAGGTAAAGTAAAAAGGAAAGAAGCAGCCACAATTGAGTCTTCCTAATTTGCATTTGACAAGGTCAAACTTTAACTCAGAATTATTGTTCTATTTTTCTTTGAGAGACTGAAAACATTGACCCATTTCCTGTTAGGATAATGTCTTTTCAAGTTTTTGAAAACATTCCAAAGAAACCAATGATCTATTTAGTCACTCTATTCATAGAAACACTTCAGTGGACAACATTATCAATATCTATTAGTTAGGATTAACTTTACTTTCAAGTGACTTTTTTAAAAAAATGTAATTTAAATAGGATAGGGAGTTACATCTCTTCATATTTCAAAATTCTGGAGATAGTCAGCAAGGAATTGTAACCTTTGCTAGATAGTCTCTTGAAACAGGCCCCATGCTCCTTGACTTTTGCTGTATTATTTTGTACTTTTATTATTATTATTATATTTATTTTTTATATCTTTTATGTCATTGTGTATTCTCCATAAAATTCCCACCACCAGTTCACCTGTGAATCTTCACCTTAATCCTGTGTTCTTCTCTCCCCTGTTTTGATCCCTTTTCCTTTCTCACCCTTACAGAATGTCTCATCGATTTTTAAAAATATTAT